GGGCCCAAGGCTCCATTTTTACTTTTCAGTTTGCCAGGGTTGAACAGATCCAGATTTGGATGTTTCGGTTTTCAAATTTGATGTGTGGGATGCCATCATCAAGCATGAGGCACGCGATGGCTCTTAAGTCGAAGTAGTCGCCTGGGCTAGCTATTGTTATGATCCCCATTTTACAGATGAGGAAACTGAGTTGCACAAAGGAATCGGTGACTTTTCCAAGGTGGCGTCATTATTAAGCGGTGAAAACAGACTGAATACAGATGTGCTGACGTCGGAGCAAGGCTTGATGTCGCTGGGCTAGGCCACTGTCTCCTGGGGACCAGACAGGATGGAATGAGATTAATGCGAGGGCTCGAGGGACAAATGTCCCCCAAAGGCAGTTATTGCACGGCCATCCAATACCCCCTCAGTGGCTGTTCTGTGCTCCGAGGGACTAGGCGCCTGCCCTGATCCTTGAAGACGGGAAAGACACGTGGACCAAGAGCTTTGCCACAACACAAGCTGGTGGGACAAGCACTGTGAGGGCCAAGAGGAGAAATAAATTACTTCCAGTTGTGGAGCGTTTCACGGAGGCCGTGGAATTCAAGGGAGGGAAAGGAATCTGCACATGGAGACAAGGCTGAGGCCGAGGCGGGGAGGGGAGTAGAGGGAATCATTCCACATACAGTGGGGCAGCATGAACAAAAGGCAGACACCTGGGAGACACAGGAGGGGTGGGAAGGGGGCCGGGTCAGTGCTGGGGGAAGCACACATCTGCTCCCACTCCCACCCCTACCCCTGCCGAAGCGCCGTCCTGCTGTGTGATCTCATTTGCTCTGTGGACAGCCAGCTGGGCTGCTGGCAGGCGTGGGAGCGGCCCCAGCTCCTCTGGGGCCTCAGCTGGGAACTTGGATTCAAAGAGCCAGAGGAGAGGAGCTCCTCCCAAGACCACTAGCCCCAAGAGGCACCGGTGGCTCAACCCTCAGGCGTTCCCAAGGGGCCAGCCAGCCTGAACCAGGTCTCCGGGGGAAGCTGTGAAAATGGAAAAACCTCCCCAAGTTCCTGTTCCCAGAGCCTGCAGACACAGACTTCTCCCAGGATGTGTAAATCCAAAGGACACTGCCATCTCGTGGCCCAGAAACCCACGTACCAGGAAGGCTGGGAAAGGCCCTGTGCCCTCGAGGGACCACACAGCCAGAAATGGCTGGGCCTGAATTTCATAATGGAACCAAAGTGATACTGGCATACATTTTAGAGTCAAAACCAAGCCTTGTTTCTGGCTGCCAGGGTCCCTGAGGTGCAGGTGCTGTGTATTGTGCAGATGAGGAAACTGCCTCCGGGAGAGATCAGGCGACTGGTCCAAGGTCACACGTTGGTCAAGCACAGGGCCAGGTCTTACCCCAGGGTCCCCAGTCTCTGCCCAATAAAGGGTTAATGGTTAGAGCAGTGATTCTCAATGTGTGGTCCCCAAGACCTTTCAGAAGGTCCAGGGGTAAAAACTATCTTCATAAGATACCTTTTTCTCTCCTACAATCATACAGTGAAATTTCCAGAATCTAAGTGCTGTGCAGTGACCTCATCTCGTCCCAATGGCTGATGGGATGTGTGCTCGTGTTCTCTAGTGTTTCAAAAATTCCTGTTTTAATTTCTAATATAACATGGATCACATATAACCAAAAGCCCTCTGAGATAATAATTTTTAAGAGTATAAATGGGCCTTAGGATAAAAAAAAGTTTGAGAACTGCTGGTTTAAAGAAATATTTCAAAAAATAAAGTTACCCAAACTAAAACATCCCTGTTTTGATCTAGGTGAACCAACTCTATGCTGCGAGGCACTGATTTTTAGATTGATTGAAATCCTAATTCTTAGGCTGACTGAAATTGTAACTAACATCTCTACAGATTAATGAAAAACACATATGTGAGTAGAGAATGGTTACTGAGTGATTTCTAACGGGCGGGCTCTGCTCTAAGTGATCTACATGTGTCGCTTCATCTCATCTCCAACCACCATCTGCAGGAGATGCTATTATCACATTTTATCCTGGGGACACTGAGGGGACGGACGAGTGGCCCAGCTGAGGAGTACATGTGCTTGGACTCTGTCCCAGGCAGTCTGTCTTCACTGCCTCTTCCCACTTTTCCTGTCTTAAGATTTGACATTCACTTGATAGAACAAAAGATTTTCAAAATATGGAGTCCAAGGAAGTAGTGAAAAGAAATAAGATCACCAATCTGACCCAACACCTTCACTTTGTAGATGAGGAAAAGCAAGGGTCAGAGAAGGTGAGTGCCGAAACCGGTTTGGCTCAGTGGATAGAGCGTTGGCCTGCGGACTGAAAGGTCCCAGGTTCGATTCCGGTCAAGGGCATGTACCTGGGTTGTGGGCCCATCCCCAGTAGATGATGTGCAGGAGGCAGCTGATCGATGTTTCTCTCTCATCGATGTTTCT